TGGAAAGACATTGATAAAATTTAGTTCCAGGACTACTCTTTTTTCAGACAGATGCAAATTATTTTCAACCAACATGGTGATCAATTTCTACAAGTGTCACAAGAGCAAAACAAAAATACGTTTGAACAATTCATGTAAAGGAAAAAAGCTGCTTCTAAAGAGAGTTACCCAGCCATTGGATGGTTGTAGATGTATTCAATGGCCAGATTAGTAGAGTCAATCTTATCGGCTTCCTTGTCTGGAATCTCTAGCTTGAACTCTTCTTCCAGAGCCATCACAATCTCCACATTATCCAAGCTATCCAAGCCCAAATCCTTCTGGAAATGTACATCAGAAGTCACCTGCAGATAATTGCTGGAAAAATCAGTACTCCCACTAAATTTTTGTCAAAACAAAATTTTAATGCTTGATTGATGGAAAAAGAAAACATTCTGAAAGGGAGAAACAGAATTATACTTATAATATGAGACAGATGAAAAAATTAAACCAGAACCTAAGGGGCAGGCCACTTGCAAATAGGGAGATGGGCATTCATGCCATTTCACTTATGAAGTTTCTAACATAGTACATGAGCACTAAAATAGATCCTGCAGGTAATATGGTTTTGGATTTTTAACTACTACTGTGTACATATAAATCTATCAAAGCAGTCACCAAGCGCACGCACAATCCATAAAGACTCTCATTCATAACCCGTTTTCCCTATAAAACCCAGTACCTTTCAGATCTTAGTTATCAAGTGCCCAGTAGTAGAATTTCCTTACAAAGAGCAAAAAAAAAATGTTCTATCATTTTGAAAAGGTTGATATCTATTTTCCTTGTTCCAGAGAATTTGCCTCACCAACTGTCCTATTTAGTTCTAATAGCCTGATCTCCGTCTCGGACCAGTGAGTTTACAAATATGTTAAGTTGCAACCAAGTGTCCTTTACTCAGAAAATTTCTAACAAACCCTTACTAATGCGTACAAGTGCATCGAACAAATACTAAAACATCCAGTTTCGATAATCAAGGATCACAGTCCATGCAAAATGTGCATTACATGCCCCAAAAATCAGTTATAAAAGTTGTTTTCTGCCTCTTGTTTTCCCACACCAGCTAAATAGGAACTCTTTCGAAATCCTTACCTAGCAGGCAGATTTTGCAGGGCCAAGTTCTACCCATGATTCTTATCATAAGAATTAAAAGGCCCAAATGACCCATTAAACATATTTAAAGGTTAAACAGCATACAGAACAATACGGAATGATTAATAGTTACTTAGCCCATTACCATAGAGGCAGAGAATGAAGAAAACAAAGAAAACAACGAATTCAGGACAAAACAACACCAGCATTTCTACATTGTATTGATGTCTGAGCATTGATATCCACAAAATGCCCAAAAAGGGACTAAATTGAACCCAAAATATATATATAACTGATCCAAAATCTCATTTTTCTTTCTCTTCTTTTGACATTATTTTGTAACCTCGAAACCCAAATCAAACTTGAATTATTTCAAAAATCCATGTGAAAAATTAAGTTCAAATAAGAATTGACTGATAGCACACTAACTACAACTCACCAAAGAACAAAACGGTAAAAGCGATGGAAAAATCGAAACAAAGATTGAGATTCTGATATAATGTTTTACATTTCCCGGGAAACAAACAGAAGGTAGAGGTAGGAAAAGGCATACCGTGGAAGGATCGACTTTTGGGAAGCTCTTGACAACAGAGAGGACTCTCTCGGTGACCTCGGATTTGGAGAGATGATCGTCGTGCGATGACATCCACCGGAGAGAAGGTGGGCCCCATTTTCCTCCGGTTAGGGTTAGGGCTGGGTTTAGGGTTTGTGCCGGAATTCGCACGTGCCGCAGTAGGGCTGCTCTCAGCGCCATCTCTCTGCCTCTCTTGTGGTGACTCTCTCTCTCTCTCTCTCTCTCTCTCTCTCTCTCTCAGTCTATTTGGTTGCTGTTCGGGAAAATGGCGTTGTCAACAAACAGCTTAGAGTCCTTCTGTGGTGCATCAGCTGTAAGGCACAGCCAATCACGTGACTTTTTTTTAAAAACAAGGAAACCTGCTGATCCGGTTAACAGGTAAATGATTTCACGCGCTGCTCCTAACGTCAATAGGTAACGATTTCACTGCTTTTTCTAATTTCATGTAAGTTATGAGCAGCGCGTGAATAGGTAAACGATCTAAGTTATGGAAGCTCAAAAAAGGGGATCAGTGAAAGGAAAGCACAAGGCTGAGAGTAATGTGCAACAATCAAAAGTTGGCCGAGATGCATTTTTTAATTTCATGTAAGTTACACGTACATCTAAAAATTGGAAATGTGGTTGCTTATTATTATGATGGTTTTTTGATTAAAAATAAATGATTTACAGGAAAAAAGAATGACATGAAATGGGGAAAGTGGCCAATGCAAAGTTGGACAGTAAGGTGAGAGATGGCAATGGATTGAGTCAGTTTATTAATTATTTTATTAAAAAGGCTTTATTAATGAGAATTTTTTATTTCAGATGCAAGAAGAGATTGCTAATAAGTGGACGAAATTGAACCCTAAAGATAATGCAACATATGGTTCTGCCTTGGAAGGTTCGAGTGGGCAAGTAGAAAGTTCGAGTAGGCAAGTAAACGATGCAGTGAATGAGATGGGTTTTACCAATAGATGCAGCCCGGACCGATTCCATTGTACGGTGGAAAAATTGTCGAATGAGAAGCGGTTAGCAATTAATGCTATTGGGTTCGGTAATGTGTCATTTTTGTCCTGCACTTGTTTACACTGCGAACTATGCCAATTTTTTATTCAAAGGTTCAATCCTGATACATCTTCTATAGAACTGCACGACAATGTGTTTGGAATAAGTGTCGTTGAGTTTGGGTGTGTTATGGGTCTTAAGAACACCGGCGAGGATGTTGAACCCGACTTGCCGGTAGAAGATGAAAAGGTGAAACAGTTAGTTAAGAGTTTCTGTGGAAATGGCAAGAGAGTATTAGTAAGGGGTTTAGCTGAACAATTGGAAATGTGTGAAAATGCGGATGAAGACTTTAAAGTTCGATTTGTGATGTTTGCACTTGGCACTGTACTTTGCCCGACATCTTCACCATCAGTGACCAGGAACTATTTAACTTTCTTGACGATCCCAGGGAAGATAGAGACCAAGAACTGGGCCGGCCATGGATTCAACTTCTTATGTGAAGGCGTAAGGTCGTTTAAATCGAAGAAAGTTGCATATGTAAATGGGTCACTGCTTTTTCTGCAACTATTCTATTTCGATTCAATTATCCATGGTGGAGTATATGTTGATAAGTCTTTGGATCCCATTGTGTCCTGGGACAATAAATCGGTGTGGAAAATGATTAAATGGGTTAGAAAGCAAGGTGGGTTTGATAAAACTTTCATCCAAGCACGCCCTACAAGTCCTAAAACATTTCTCAACAATACATACATAAAACAATAATATGTCAGTCATATGAAAGCATCTTGTCCATCACTAAATCTACATTTAATGTTAATTGTTACATGTAAACCAAGTTCCAAAACTACAATTATTTTGGATTGAACCAGTACATAGGGAATTAGGTTCACCATTGTCGAATGAGAAACCATCGTCATTGTTGGGGGTAGAACCGATTGGGTCTGCAGTAGAAAAACTATCAGAACCAGATAAACTGTAGCTAATGTCCGGGGACGGCCCTTTATCAGAACTATACTGATAGCTTTCACTACCTGATGGGATATTCACACATGCATTTCTACTTGGATGCAAGTTTCTTTGAGAGCAATTACGCTTTGTATGTCCATATCCGCGACACAAATGGCATTGTCGACACTTACGCGATCCACCCTACCTTGCTTGAGTGCCTTTTGTCTTAATGATATTTGGATCTTTCACAATATTTGGAGGACATTGCTCAGTAGTACCTAATTTCAGACTTGTCACTTCTTCCTTTTGCCGTAAGCCTTCACAAATTCCCTCACATCTACTAAACTCATTCATCAACATGGCATAACCATCTGCACTCTTCGATGCATAAAAACATACTTTGTTTGACATAGCACTAAACTTCCATATCTCACCATTTCTACAACTTCATTGGTAGTGTCTTCGCCTTTGCCGATAAATTCCCTACATGTATCAGTTTAGGCACTCTTTGTCCATCTCTTCATTATGAGTGCTGGAGGAATTTCCACGCACTTCATTAATAAAACAGGTGGCAATACGGGATCCCTTCACTTTCATATTTCCGGCATCCACACTCTATCCGCATATTTTCCCCACTGTGGTAAACACAAGTCCAATTATTATGCGGTTCACCATATTTTGACAATACGTATACACGACCTCCAAAATTATGCATCACATTATCATGGGTGAGTGTTGAACAAGATTCGATCTCATGACGTACCAATACAAAGCACCTATGCATGTAAATCAGAGAAGCTTGTTGCTCAAGTTTTGTCAATACGGTTTTAAGGACTGGTATGGAGTAATTTGCTTTGAAACCATCATTCGTCGTGGTATTCCTGAGACGTAACATAGCCCTATCAATTGCTGGAATACATTCAAACAACTTCACCGCTTTCCTCAAATAATCTTTCATATACTTGTTCATGGACTTCATGCGTTGAGTGGTGCACATACCACCGAAAAACTTTCCTCTCATACATGATTCAGCCCATGAGTCTCTTTTTGCATACATCATTTCCAACCATTCTTTTTGTTTCAGAGTACTCGCTTTTTCCCTCAAAACCTTCCATTTTTTTCTCAAACTCGTCCAATGCAAATGTTTCCCAAATACATGCCTGAAAATTTCTTAGCAATTCATCATCCTTCAAGTTATTCTGTGCATTCCTTGACACATGCCATGAGCACAACCGATGGTTAGACATGGGAAACACATCATCAATGGCTTTACGCATCGCCTCATCGTCATCTGTCAATATTGACATTGGCTTCTTATCTTTCATGGATGCCATGAATGTTTCCAATAACCACTTGTAAGTCTCAAATGTCAACCAAACATTACAGTAGAACGGTAGTTGTTCGAACCGACAAACAACACTAGGGGCTTGTCATAAACATTTGTTTTGTACGTGCTGTTGAATATGAGGACATCGTCATAGGCAATGTAATCCAAAAGTGAAGTGGAGTCCCTCCAAAACAAATTATCAAGCCTATTTTCCTCGTCAACACTGAACTTACAAAATAATTCTGGATCCATTACTCCTTTCACTTTCAAGTAAGAGAGTGCAGCTTCTGTGTCACCGTCGAGCAAAATTTCCCTGCGTGATGCATCCAACTTATTGTACATATCCTTTATTTGAAAACCAACATTTAAATACCTGCCACATTGGTCGACCATATACTCATATGTTTGACATGTTCTAAACAATGCTCTTCGCATTCCCACTCTTTGTGCTAAATCGGAATTTCGAACGACACGGTTACATCAGAGATATGGTGATTCAAGTGGAGTAACTAGTTGATGATTGTGATGTGGTTCAAAATTTGTAACGATGTAAACATCACGTTTCTTCTCATAACCCACCCAAAAATAGGCAGAACAATTCTCTCTTATAATTGCCTTCAGTGGTCGAATCCTATTTGATCGATCATTAAACTTCTCATTTCTCAAACCTTCTTTAGAACAACACCATTGTCTCCTACATACTTTCCCTTCTGAATTTCGAACCAATTTATCTTTTCTTACGCTAAATCCAATGCCCTTTGCATCTTTTCTCGGTGCAAAAATGTTTGAGGATCGATCATATAATATTCTTCCGCTAATTCTATTGTTGTAAACTCTTTCACCATAACATCGTTCCTCGGTGCCATCATGTCACCACCCACCATTATCATCACTACTTTGACTAACCATATGTTCGATCGACATATGCCCACTCTTTGTTGCCGGTGCCCTGTGACTCGACCTTTCACAACCATCCAGATACCCTAAATCACTACAACCATCATTTGATGTCTCTACACCCCTGTCCATCTTACCAGACCCCTTCATGCCTGAGAAACATAATTTCAAACTGAAATTACATTATACTCTCTGTGCTAACATACTTTCTCTTAAAAAAAACACAAATGAATAATCTCATGCAATTGCACATACTCAGGTCAACAATTACATCAACTCATTGCCCAAAATACATTCAAGTCCTAAGCCAAAAAAAAGGGTTCTTTGAAATCTTACTTGATGTTTCCATACTTTCAAAGCCTCCTCCTTACACTTCCTTTGTCCACCAACTCAAATGTCGTAGTTAACAGCCAAGGATCTTCAAAATCTTTACAACCACGTTGTTATTACAAATCCATTCCCCTGCGAAATTGAAATTCTATATCAGACAATGCCCAGAAGAAACTAAATTTATTAAATACTTCCAATTTGGTGACCATTTCATCATGGAGGTTGGACCCACCATCAATTTGGTAACTGCATATGAGTTTTGGGCAAGCAGAGAAAAGAGTTGAGGACCTCAATTCAGTGAGCATTACCTTGTTACAGATGCGTTTTGCCCAAGCACAAACAAGAGTTGGACGCGCTTTAGATGGATTTGGGCAAGTGAGAAAGAAGAGTTCCTAGGGAAGCAGAGCCAAGAGTTCGTGGACAAGCAAAGAGAAGAGTTCTTGGAGGCGCTAAGGATTGGAGTTGGGCAAGCAAAGAGAAGAGTTCCTGGAGGCGCTAAGGATTGGATTTGGGCAAGCAAAGAAAAGAGTTCCTGGAGGAGCTAAGGATTGGATGGGCTCTTAGGATTTTCGATTTGGGCAACTAGAGAGGAGAGCGCGCATCTTCTTCATCCTCTAAACCTGCCTTTCTCTGCGCGTCTTCTTCATCCTCCAAACCTGCCTTTCTCTTTCCTTATATGCCACTCACGTGTTTAATAACTAGGGCTCAACAGGTTACTAAGTCATTGAATCTCAGCCATCCTTTTTTAACATGGAAACTCAACCATTGGATAGTCGGCTGTACCGGTACAGCTGAGGCACCATAGAATTTTCGTAGTATCAGACCAAAAAAAACAAACAAACAGCTTAGTAGTCACGTGTTAGGGGCGTGATTTTGAACTTTTTTTTGTTGCAAAAATTCACTTTTGGTCCCTGTGGTTTACGACTTTTCCCACTAAGGTCCCCTGGTTTCAATTTGATCACTTTTGCCCCTGTGATTTTCAATTCCAGACAATTCGAAAACATTGCCCAATTTCCATCAAATTTGTCTGACTGTCGTTAGGGCTGGAGGGGGGTATTAAGGTCAAATCCCTTGCTAATTTCCATATTCCATCTTCCATTTTAGTTTAGGGGCACGTGTTCAATGAATTGGCAAGGGATTTTGACCTTAACACCTATGTTTGAGGAAAATTTTCACTGGAGAATATTTACGAGAGATTCTTCACCCTCCGAGCTTCCTTCTCTTTCTTCTTCCTCGATTCCTGTGAAAAATGTTAGAGTAAATAGACCACACTCGGGGAGTGTTGGCCAAAGGTCATCTGATGCCTAAGTCAGTTAGATGATCTTGAGAAAGATACGAAAATAATAGAGAATGTCGGAGTTTTCTCTATGATATGAGAGAACCGGGTGGCTAGAGCCATATGTGAGGGTGGTCGGAGCCGTGAAGGACAGAGGAGAGAGTGGCGTGAGAGAGAAAGAGATAGGGATTCAGCTAGGGTTTTGGAATTACCTCATGCGTGTTGTGTAGCCATGTATTTATAGACTCCTTGCTTGGCTAAGGTTTGAAGAATAATCATTATTTAGTTAGGATTATTCTTACCCAAAGATGTTAGGAATTAATAAAAGAGATTTGCTGGAAATTGTTTCCTTGATTTAGAGAGATATTCCTATCTTAAATCAAAGATAATTCCCTAATTAAATAGGATTTAATTAGGGTAATTAGTTTACCTAAGGAATATTCATTTTTTCCACGTGTCATCTTCTTATTGGTTGCCGAAATATGTGTTCCCACAAATGCCCCCCGCTTCTGCATGGAGGAAATGTGAAATATTTATTGGGCTTTCCAACTGCATCTGGGCTTCTTTCTGTGAGTTGAGCTCCTTTTGCGAGTTGGGCTCCTAATTGGATTAGGCTTTTGACTTCTTCTTGGAATTAGGCTCCCAGTTGGAATAAGCTTGTGATTCCTTCTAGGTCAAGTATACCCAACTACCATAAATACAAGATTTCTCTTCACTCATCTTCAAATTGCAAACTTGTCTTTCTCTACTTTCTAGCTTATAACAGAGATCTTGGAGGAGTGTACTGCTTGTCGAGGAGAGGATTTGCCTAAGATAAGTCATGCCTTTTTCTTTTCTTTTTTTTCTTCTTTGATTTTTCTTCATGGGCGAGGACTAGTTGGCGTGGCCTAGTTGGTTGTTGTTGTGATGTGACGGCCATGGTGGACACCGGTGGTTGTAATAGATTTTTTTTTTTATCACGGCGAACAACGGCTGGTTGTCATCGTGACTACGCGAACTAGCTATGTTGCGAGGCCAGCCGTGAACTCGTGGCTGAACGGTCGTGGTTGCTGCCGTTGTTGGCGGCGAAAGTTGTGGCTACTCTATTGTTTTTTTGTTTCTTATCTGGTTCGCCAATTGGCTTGTGTGCTTGAATTGATTGTGGGACCAGCCTATGTTGGTTGTGCCGAGGTCGCGAGAGGAGGCTGCTGCCATAGTGGTCATCAGCTTCTGTTGGCGAAAGCTGCTATTTTTATTTTTTGTTTTTGCTGGAGCAGTGTCGCAGCTTGCTTAGGTGTTGCGGTTCAGGCCGTGTGTCTCCTCCCGTTTGTTTTTTTTATACCACCAATTAGGGTTTTGACTTGCTATTTTCCTTAGAATTTTCTTCATTTTTTGCAGCTTTTCACTTATCAGGTCTTCTGATGAGGGTACTCGGTGATCTAGCTCACAAGTGCCCTTATATTTATGGGGTGGTTCTAAGGTGTCGAAAAAGAGATTTGTGGCAAACTTGCATTGCATCACGTCCAAGACTCAGTTCCATAAGTGGCGTGCTACCTTTGCTTCTGCCACACCTAATGACGTGCATGTCAGGTTGACGGAATCTTCAACTAATGATATGCCTCGGGTAGACCCGAACAACCCGGATGTCAGGATCATCTCTTTCCACCTTTTCTATTTCTCATTGGGCTACACATTTTGGCTGTTGACGTTCTTCAGGAAGATATTTTATGCCATGGAGTATGCCCTAAGCCAATGTACCCCAAATGTCTACCGGGCGATCATCTGCTTTGATAACCTGAATTGCTTCTTTTAGCTGGGCTTGACAGTATGGGAGATCTGTTACTTCTTCAAGGTGAGACGTTGTGGGAAGTATGCCCAACTTCGTGTGAGTAATGCCAAATTGTTTAACGGTCTCAACCATGAAGACTGTGTGGAACACCAATGCTGTGGAGGTCAACAAAAAGTGGGAAGGCGAAGTAAGTGACGGTCTACTTGTTCCTATCACCTATTACCATGGTGAGTCATAGTCTATTGACATGCTTTAATTTCATTTGAATTCTTTGATGTGTGGTTGACTAACTTCTATCTTCTGCTTGCAGAAAGGGATATCAGCAAAAAGTTGGATCTCGAACCAATTATGGCTAAGGTCCATCAAGCTTTAAACATCTCTGCGAGGTTTTGCGAATAGCGCTGGCAATTGAGTGAGCATCAACGAAAATTGGGTAATGTACTCGAATTGCTTGGAATTGAAAACCACATGGGCAAAAGTGACCAAATTGAAACCACATAAACCTTAAGGAGGGGAACATGACCTCGAGTGCAGGGTAACAGTCCTAAACCACTTGAATTATAACCTTTTTAAATTAGATATTTTCATATTAATTGATATAATAAGTTGATATTTCTTTCTTTCTTTTTTCTTTTTCTTTTTGGGTCAATCTGGATGACATCATAATTGAACCATATTATAGGCTCAAGCCTTTGCCCAAGAATAGCCCAATGAGGACCACCTAATATTTGGATTTATCTTGGGCTTTTATATTTACATGCACCCAATGGCATCAAAGATGAAAAGTTGTGTTTTGCGTACTCTACCTTTCATGAATCATAATTTTTCTTCTTTCAAAAAAAAAAAAAAAGGAAAAAACAAAAAACAAAAGAGGTGCAAGTAACTTTTTTCAATAAGGAAAGCAACATAACTTTGGCTTGTTAAGTGAAGCACAGTGAAGGTTTTGGGCAGCGGTTATAAATGGTTGGTGGTTCTCAAGTAGTTTCTTCTTTGAAGGCGGTTCAACAACAGTTACTTTCGCCACCTCATTAGAGGCAATTGGGTATCTGTATCTCTAATGCTCTTGATCTAGTGGATAATATGGCAATTTGAACTCTAGCCTCTGACTCCATACTTGCCAAAAACACTATGGGGCTTCCAATTCTCTCACTATTGTTGGGTCTACAGAGGGTTCACATGCTGGTATCAAGCGGATTGCCGATCATGCTACTCATGTTTAATCTGGTTCGGTTAAACAAGTTAAGGGTAATTCTGATTCTTCCTTCTCCTTCACCGCTCTTGCCGGCGGACAATTTGGTGGGTCAGTTAAGGGTAATTGTGTTTCTTTAGTTTTCTTCGTTTTCTATGCAACTTGGCTTTTAATAGGTTTTTGTTTCTTTTTTATGATTTTCTAGTTGTTTTGCTTTCAGTTTGGTTTGGGGTTTTCTAGTTGTTGTGTTGTTTAAGTTTCCTAAGGTTTCTTTTCACTTGTTCTTTGTATAGTTGTGTTGCTTTGGTTTGTTTTAGGTAGACCTTTGCAGGTTGCCAAACTGCAAGTTTCTGGTGTTGCCAAGGGCTTCCTGTTCTTTTTTCTTTTTTCTTGTTGTTTTTCCTTTAGTTGTTCAAGCGCAAATCTTTTCTAAGGTCACGCATTTGTTCATGTCTCTCATGCTTGGGTTTTGGATAGTATTGGCTACTTCAGTGTTATCTTTGTACACTCTTATGGTGCTTATTATTTTTATCAAGCATCTCTTCCAACAACAAAAAATATAGCCTTTCGAAAACTCTCCTTAGTTT